AAGCCAATATACGATAGTACAAGAATTTCATCATAACTCCTGAACCACTATTAGGGTAAACACTTCATCACATAGAAACTTTTTACTTAACTCATTCCAAGAGAACCATAACTACACACGAGTGAATTCTCAAAACCGCAGAACATTCAAATCCTCAAGTAGTGGTCTAAACTACCATGACCCTTCCGGGATCCGCCTACACATAACAAGGCCATAATACTTGAATACTTCCAAATAAAATCAATTACGACAGCCTTCAAGCCTCGCACGTACCGCCATAAATCACATGCATAACTTAATCACGCTGAAGAACCTGATCACCGCCACCATTATGCCAATTCAACCATGGCTAATCAATCTATCTTCTTCTAATTCATCCTTAGTTTGCCTTAGAGATAATAATAGCTTCATTCCTTACATCACCAACCTAAATCCGCACTTATCTTGAGTAACCCCATTCCACGAGACCATATTGTCTCCAAACCCATGAACCGTTTCACACCCTNCAATATATATATTTAAATTCGAATTTGATAATTTTTTCTAAAATTTTTGAGTTTAAAAGCAACTAAAATTTTAATCAATACATTTTTTCTTTATTTGAATTATGCATAAAGTTCTAAAATTTAGGACCTTCTCACGACCCAAATTCCACTAAGGGTCGTGATGGCGCCGGACACCGCTGTCAGGCAAGCCAACCATAAATACTTAATTAAATTTTCGTTTAAATAATTGTGAAAACTATGATTTTCCTTCAATTTGGCTAGTAAAAGATAATCTTTACTAAATAAATAAAAGAATGTCTAGAAGTTAATACAGATTACCCCATAGTCATCTCAGAACCCGGTGTTACAAGTACATGAGCAGTTTCTAGGAAATAATGTAATACAACTACTGCCTGAAATATAAATTGGACAGAAAAGAAAATACAGTACGATACTCTGAATGAGACTCTGCTAGCTGCGGGTCGTCTCGAGAAGTGCAGCTCACCTAAGTCTCCGTATCAACCATGCCGTTGCGCCCAACTAGGCCACTAGACATACATGTGCCTGTGCAATAAAAATGCACAACAAGTGTAGTATGAGTACAAAAACAACGTGTACCCAATGAGTATCCCGTCTAATCTCGAAGAAGTAGAGACGAGAGGTCGACTTCGACACTTACTAGTGGTCCAATGATAATATAGTAAAAATGTGAGAAGATCAGGGAATTTTATAAAACAACAATTATAATTCATAAAGCCAGATAGCAGGTAAACAACTTCCCAAATAATAATGGATTTCCAAAGATATACTTTTCATTATCTTTATCACTTTATCTCCGGCCAGGAAAGGCAAATGTCAACATTTATAAATCTCAAGCAACAATACAAGCATGCGCATATCATGTCGAGGTTGTACGACCCGATCCAACATAAATGTAAAATGTGCACTGCCGAGGGTCGAACGGCGCGAACCATAGATGCATCTATTACCCCACTCGCGAATCATCCATACGACACGGTCAACACAAAATAAACAAATACCCTGCTCGCGAATCATACATGAGACGCATGTACACATAGAATCACATATTCAAACAATTAATCAAGACTTCATCAGAGAACAAATATCCAAGGAAAATCTAATTCTCATTTTACAATTCAAGAAAATGAAGCTCAGTTTTTTAAAAATTCACTTACTAATCCGATGTGATTTAAGCAATTCAAACCATCAATAGGATTACAAATATTTCCAAGTACAACATGTTTTTGGGTCCTAGACTACCCGAACAATAGCATAATAGTAGCTACGCACGGACTTTTGTCACCTTGTGCGTACGTAGCCCCCACAAATAGGAGCACATAACCAATTAACTCACCTATAGGGACAATTCCCTTTTACAAGGTTAGAAAGGAGACTCACCTCGCTCCGAAGCCTATATTCCGGTTCAAGAACGCGCTCAAACCTCCAATTTGGAGCCGAACGATCCAAAACTATTCAAATAGGGTAAGAACTGAACTAGTCAATACATGCTCAAAAGTTCATATTCTAATTATTAAACCAATTTCCCAACCCTAAATGTAAGGTTCCTAAAATTCATCCTCGGGCCCACGTGCCCGGATTTCGGAAATTTTTGAAGAAAATTGTTAACCATAACCTAAGGATAAAGAATATATATATATTACTTCACTCCCTAACAATTTCGTGGTTAAATCTTGTTTTTACCAAATTCTAGGTTTTTTCATCTAAAACCCTTGATTTTCCCTAATTTTCACATGTTAATCTATCCATAATCTATGTATTTAACTTATGATGTGTAGAAATTACTTACCTCTTTGATGATGATGGAATCCTTCCTCAAATGCTCTCAAAAATCGCCTAAGGCCAAGTGGGAAATGAAAGAAATGGGCTAAGTCTCGGGATAAAAAGCCCTGAGTTCCGTCGCAGATGTCGCATTTGCGACATCCGGCTCGCAAATGCGATGTCGCATTTGCGACATCCGGCTCGCAAATGCGATGTCGCATTTGCGACAATTGCATCGCAAATGCCAAGCCTAGCCTACCCTGCCATGGTCGCATTTGCGACAATATTCTTCGCAAATGCGAAGGTGACAGCCTCGCAAAATCGATCCTTCGTTCGCAAATGCAAACTTTCCCCTAGAAGCCCATGCTCTCAAATGCGAACAGAAACTCGCAAATGCGAGGTCGCATTTGCGACCAAGGCATTGCAATTGCGATCATACCAGTATCAGCAATCCTATTTCTTAGCAAATCACTCCGAAGTTATCCCTAATCACACCCGAGCCCCTGGGGCTCCAAACCAAACACCAGCACAAGTCTAAAACATAACACGGACTTTCTCGAAGCCTCAAATCACATCGAACAACGCTAAAACCATGAATCACACTCCAATCCAAGATTAATAAACTTTAGAATTTCAAACTTCTACATTCGATGCCGAAACCTATCAAATCACGTCCGATGGACCTCAAATTTTGTACACGAGTCATATTTGATATTATGGACCTACTCCAACTTCCTAATCAAAATCCGACCCCGATATCAAAAAATCCACTTCCGGTCAATCTTCTCAAGAACCATCAAATTTCTATCTTTAGCCAAATGACTCCAAAATGACCTACGGACCTTCGAATTCACTTCCGATCGCGCTCCCAATACCAAAATCACCATACAGAGCTATTCCTAGGCTCGGAATCCCAAGTGGCCATTGATAATATTGAAATGTACTTCAACCCAAACTTATGAGATTCTTCCAAAATGCTAACTTCCACAATAGGCGCTGAAACGCTCCCAGGTCTTCCAAAATTCAATCCGGACATATGCCCAAGTCCGAAATCATCATACAAACCTGCTGGAACCTTCGAATCCCGAATCCGAGGTCGTTTACTCAAAAATTCAATCTTAATCCATTCTTTTAACTTAAGGCTCCCGCAATGAGAATTCTCTTTCCAAATAAACTCCGAACTTCCCGGAATTCAATTCTGACCGTGCGCACAAGTCATAATACCTGAAGTGAAGCTGCTCATGGCCTCAAACTCCTGAACGACGTGCTAGAGCTCAAAACGACCGGTCGGGTCGTTACATTAAAATTTGTTAAAGATTTCAACTTACATATATCCTTGCTTTATTTGAACCCTTCCACGTTAATTTTTTTAGTATTATAACTTTAGAATTAACTTTTATTAAAAGATAGAAATTAGTTGAATTAGTAGGAAATCAACAAATATATGAAATTAGTTAGGAACTATGAGAAGGAATAAAATCACATGAACATACGGTTCATTATTCTCTTTAATTATAAATTGAATACTTAACACAATCATATCGAACAATTTATTTTCCATTTAAAAGGAAGTTTTTATTCATTTATTTTTGTAAGACATTATTTTAAAACTACATTGAATAATTAGAACGGATAAAAACATTTAATTATAAAAGAGAAAAAAAAATGTTGGCAAGAGTCAATAAAAATAAAGATTCAAAAGAAAATGTCAGGTTAAATTTTTTATTCTTTGAGAGTAGAATACTTAGTCGAAAAAATTATAATTTTAGTTAAAATTATAAAAAATTTGTGATGAGATGATATTTAAAATCTGAATAATAAAAATAAGTTATTACATTTAACTTCGAGGAAAAAATAATCAAGTGTTTAAATTAAGTTACCTTTAAAGTAGAAAAGAAATAACTAAATCTTTACATTAATTGATTAGCAAAAAAATTAAATTTAGTTCTTTTTTAAATTCATCACATGAGTAAAAGTATTTTTCAATTAACTAAACTCTTAGTATCTGAGAACTTTTGTGATAGCAAGATTTCTTTCTTTTTTGAGATCAAATATATTATTTGATAGTCTATTCATTCCAAAAAGAATAATACTATTTCTTTTTTAGTTCATTTAAAAATTTAATAGTGCTTTTAAATTTGAAAATAATTAAACATAAATATTTTATTTTATCTTTAATAATACATATTTATAGCCACTCAAATATTATGATATGTGCAAGATTACAAGTTTCAAAGGTCTCTCTTTTCTATTTTCTTAAATTCTGTATCCAGTTAAACTAAAGTAGACGAATAATATTAATCTAATTATTTGAAGCTTTGTATTCATTAGTATGATTACACGCGCAAAGCGCGTACTTTAAGATTAGTGAAACATAAAAAACGAAGGCCTCATATATTATCTATAACGAAAATGAACAATAAAAAATACAATTCATTAGATTTAATTCTAACAAAAATATTAATTATTTTAAAGAATTAATTTTTATACGCAAGAACTAGCACAAATTTTATCCTTTTAATCTCGAGTAAACTTATAAAATTAATTATTTCCAAGTTTATGTCATCACTAATTACTAAGTACACACTAGTAAACCTAAACTTGGGGCTCAAGCAAAACAATAAATAAAAGCAGGTATATTCCAAATTCCTTCAAAGGGTTAAAGGGTCTTTTTATAATATTAAAGGCGGCACATACTAGGGAGACAAGGAAACGACGGCACAAAGAATTGATTAAAACCCTAAAACCTCTGAGACTCGCTCGCTCTTTACTCTCTCTCTATAAGCCCTACGCTTCTACTCATAGCAGTTTTGTTTCTTCCACTACCCCAAAACTTTCACCTTCTGCATCGGGGAGAGGGCCCTCAGAGCCCGTCTTCTCTTCTTTCAGTTCTGTTGTTAAGAACTTTTAACCTTCCGAAGAAAGCTGATCTCGGCTTGAATGGGGTTTTGATTTTAATTTCAGGTAATTCAGTATCAGGTTTGTTTCTTTGTGCGAATTTATTAAATAAATTGTGGGTCTTTTTTCTTTTTTGTTGAATATCATAGTTCTTTGATTGATCGTGTTCTTTGTGTGTTGGGGGAATTGGTTGTTTAGGTTCGACTTTGTTGGTTCTCTGTGTGTGAGTTAGGGTAAATAAAATCATGGGTCTTTTTGTATGAATTGATTTGGTTTGATTCAACTCCGTTGGTTCTTTCTGTGTGATTTTTAGGGGCAGAAAGATTATGGGATTATGTTTTGAAATCATTTTCTTGTGCTTCTCTCTTTGTTTTGGGGGAAAAATAAGCATGATGCTTTTGAGAATTCGTTATTTGGTTCAACTTCCTTCTTTATGCATGCGCTTAATTTTGGGGGAAAAGTATTCATCTGCTTTTGGAATTTGTAGCTTTGTTTGAATTCTGTATGTAATTCATGGGGAACATAAAACTTATCTTTTTTTTCTAAATTCATCTTTTGCTTCAACTCTCTGAAGTTTTTTTAATTTCTCAAAAAGTGGCAACATCTCCTTTAGTTTTTTTCGTATTTGGCAACTATTCTGTATACTTCATAATTCCGGAAAAAATTATTCATACATCAAATTTTCCGTCAATATTGATCAGTTCTTTAGTTTGATGATGAGATCATACACTTAGTTGCCATCTAAATTTCATGCTTAAAAAAAAGAATTTTCATGTTGAAGAGCTTAATAATGAAAAAAGGAAGTATAGTACATTAACTAAGAGCTTATGCTAACTTTTAAAGTCCCTGTTTTAGGAGTATATAACAATTTCTTTGCTTTGTTCTGTCTTGTGGGATTTTGGTTACTTGCAAGTGATAAACTTAGTCTTGATATCAAGGCGATTTTTGTTTTTAAATCATCTCTTTTGTTGGGCAAGTGTTGCATTTTTTTAGTTTGCTTTGTACTCATATCAAAGTTTATCTCAAAAATTTCTGTCTAAGTTGCCATCTGGTTTCCCTTTTAATTCCTTTCCTTTACTCTATATTTTCCAGGGTCTGTATGTTCAATGGTTACTGCTCAATCTCCGAAAGTGAACAGTTCTCTTCAGCTCCTGGAGTTGCCCACCATGAATGTTGGTGATAGCATGGTGACGAAGAAGCTGAAAATAAAAATTTCTTCCAAGGGGGTGCGGGCTGAATCTGGGGGAGGCTCTGAGATGAATATAAAGGTGAAACTACCTATGCCATCCGACTCTAATAAACGTGGACCTGAGTTAGTGCTGGACAATGAAAGAGAGAAAAGGCGGAAAATGGATCGGAATGTAAAGCAACAATGTGGTAACATTCTGAAAGCCTTGATGGCTCATCCTAGTGGGTGGCCCTTCCTTGTACCAGTGGATCCAGTCCAATATAATATTCCCGACTACTTCACTATAATTACAAGACCAATGGATTTGGGGACAGTCAAAGCTAAACTGGATGGCAATGTGTACTTCAATGTTGATGCATTTGCTGCTGATGTGAGGTTGACGTTTGCAAATGCGATGAAGTATAATCCTCCTAATAATGATTTTCATCTCATGGCTAAGAGATTAGATAATATTTTTAATCAGAGGTGGAAGCTGCTGGAAGGTAAGTGGAAATCTGAGAGCAAAAAATTCATTCAGGATTGTGTTTCAAGTGATAAAGGAAATGACTTTAAGAATACAAGGGAGACTTCCTTTAAGAAATCTGCACCTCATGCTAATGGTCTGAGCAAGAGGCTAATGCCTTTGGAGGAGAAGCAAAAGCTGAAGAAAGAACTTGTTGATTTACTTAGGGGAAATGTAATTAAGAAAATGCAGAATGCTCTCCAAAAGTTTGGGTTGGTGGGTCTTAAAGAAGAGAAGCTTAGCCTGGACCTGGATAAGTATGATGATAACACACTATTGGAATTGAAGAGGGTGGTTAGAGCTTATTCCAATTTAGCTACAGAAAAGGTAAGAAGTTTATCTTAGTCACACGATCGAACTTCAACTGGTATAATAGCTGTTTATTGCAAAGGAAACTTTAAACCGTTATCTTTTTTTGTAACTCTTAAAATGTTATCTAATTGGTGCTTTTTTTTTTACAGGCAGAGCCCGCTAGTGTAAAACAAAGTGGTGGGCATCTGTCGTCCCAGGAGACTCTTCAAAAAGGTATGAAAAGGCCGGGTATAAAATTTCTGCTCTTATGGATCTTTTCCAGGGGCTGATTGGAGATGTGTCTTTTTGGGCACAGATAGTAGCACAGGTTTTATTTGCTCTGCCAATACCAAGCAACAAGCAAACACTGTTGCTTGCCACCTTCAAGGTGTTGATACCCATGCTCGTCCCAGGAGTAAGTTTGTTCTGCCCCCTTCTTTCTTCAGCTGCTTTGGAGCTCAAATCTTCAATTGCTAATAAACAAGTTGTACTTCTGTTTGCAATTCAGATTTTCCAACAGAAAGAAAGCTAGTACAAGATCATTCGGGTGTTCCTAAAAGGGTCGGTGTCTTGATGGTTAAAATATCTTTGAATAGATTTAGGGCGTTTGCCATTCCTTTCCTTCCAACTGACACCTTGTATGCATTTTCAGGACAGAGAGGTGACAAACTCATTGGCATCAGTTTCATGCAGAGCTGATCTGAACTCTCATGGTGATTGCAAAACACTCTTATATTTGTTCACTAGCATGCATAAAAAAATATTAATCTTCGTATTGACATGCTGTTGCCGACAATATGCAGGTGGTCTAGGAGTACTTTATGAAGAAAACTCTTGTTCCAGTCCAAGTAGATCAATCTGTGCTTCCACTACTACATATGATGAAGGTGAGTATGTTGCTTGTACTCTTTCTATCATGTTTTTGGGTACCCAAGAAGGCCAATGAACTGAAGCCTAATCTGCTGATGACTGTTTTCTGGAAATAGGCTGGGATCCTCTTATGAACATTGATCTGTCCCCGACTAAAGCACTACGGGCTGCAATGCTGAAGAGCCGATTTGCTGACACTATTATCAAAGCGAAACAGAAATCTCTTCCAGTTGATGTAATTCCTTGCCTTTTCCTTTTGAGAGAACGCATTACATACACTATTTAAGTTTGGTTTGAGACAGCTGTTTATTGCTGAATCAGGGTGATAAGGCTGATCTGCATAGTATGCAGCAGGAAAGAGCCCAACTAGAAAAGCAGAAGCTTGAAGGTAAGATGTTTTTTTTTTTAATTTTTTTTATAATCGAAGGTAAGATAGTTTATGTTGTGTGATTGATTGATTGACTTCTTATGGTAGTAGCTCAAATGGAATTGGGATAATAAACTCCAGCAGTTTTATCTATATAAAAAAACTATTAAGTAATTTCAACACACTCCATCTCAAAAAGTAATTTCGACACACTAACGTGGAATCACAATCTCTATCTGGCTTGTTATCAATATTGATGCCAGATAAAATAGAGGATTGCTTACTTATGAATCAAAACAAAATTATACAAGACAAAAGGATATTTTTTTTTTTTAATGGCCAGCTGATGCTTTATGCACTATCACCATTTCTAGTCCTGCCATGGATTCTAGAAAGCTCTTAATGTGATGTTAATTAATCTTCTGGAGTGCCCTGTTTTAAAATAGGCTATAGTAGCTGAATGGACAGAAGCTTCAAACTATCTGAACCAAAAACAAGTTCTTTAAGGCGTGTATCAAGTTTTTCCTGTTTGGTCTTGTAGTGTTTGAATTTGATTTAAAAACCGATTCAAACCAAAGCAAGCTCAGGCTGATTGGCTTTTTCCTTCTAGGTTTGTTTTTTCCTGGATTGGTTTTTCTGAGTTTTAGCTTTGTTGCCTTCTCCTCTTTATTAGCTATGAGATTTGGCGAATTAATGTGTATTGGAAACTTTCAACATATTGCATCGGTATATTAAATGGATATCAGTAATTTCAAACTAAATTAGATCTTAAGCATATCTTATTTTTTATCCTGAGCAATCTGGAGCCAACCCTTAGGACCAACTACAGCCTCCAAAACTCGGAGATGCTGGGCTGGCCTCTGTATCCTTCTCCACTTAATACTAGGCTTAGTTCGTTTGGCTAAGGGATCGAACTTGTGACCTAAGCCTCAAATCTCTCAACCTTTGCCAAGTGAGCTAATATCTAGATTTAGCATGTTTTCTGCAGATATAGATAGTTTCATAAACAACAAATGTAGGTTTTTTTTCCAAAAAATCTTTCTAGAGGGAAGAGAAACCTAAACTAATGTTTATCGTGCAAACTCATAATACAAAAGTAATCTTATATACTAAAATGTTTGTACTAAAGCTCTCATTAGGAGTGGCAAACGGGCTGGTCGGGTCGGATATGGTTCGAGTCGAAAATAGGTAATGAAAAAACGGATCAATTATCCGATCCGACCCATATTTAATACGGATAAAAAATGGGTTAAACGGCGGATAATATGGGTAACCATATTATCCATGAATTCTTGCATATGATCACTTTTGAGAGAATTCTTAGTCTCACTAACTTGAGGAACCCTCAATTTGAAGCTTTACAAATATAAAAGTTAGACTCATTGGTTACTCATTGGTTATCCATTTTCTAAATGGATAATATGGTTCTT